CCACCAAACATGAACCCAAAGTCACCAAAGAAACTGGAGAAGACATCGCTGTGAAAGCTGTGGTGACCCTCTTTGAGCCCGTACTCTCCATACATGTCATACAGTTTCTTTTTCTCCTTATCTGAGAAGACCTCATAGGCTGCTCCCAAGTCTGCGAACTTGTCCAGGGCTTGCAGGTCGTCTTGGTTTCTGTCGGGGTGTAACTGCAAAGCCAGCTTTCTGTAGGCCTTCTTGATGTCCCTGATTGATGCACTCTTGTGTTCATTTGCATCAACAGCATGAACTAAATTGGCCATTTTAATCTCTGGATCATTCGAAGAGATCTTCCCAAAATCAAGGTTCACTGGCCAATTAATTTCTGGTTCAGCAAGAAACTTTGGCCCTGACAACCAGGAATCATCCTTGACAAACATCTGTTTAAGGCTCATAGCTCGCTGTTCTCATCCCCCTGGGCCCCCGCTTTCCCTGCTTTCCCTGGGTTGGTGGTGTGTTGGTGGTAAGGGAATCCCTTTCCACCAACCCATTCCTGGAAGCCCTGGACCCTCTGCCCCTTCACTCTGTATATATTTCACGCTGAGCTTGTTGTAAATAAACTTTTGAACTTCTTCAGAGTCAAATTCGAGTCTGCATCTGAATCCATTCTGTCAGCCTTGACAAAATATAGTATAGGAATTCTGTTTCAGTTCATATCAGTTCACCTTTATTTCACAAAATTACAATAATAATTGCTCAGAGATGTTTTATGTTGTAAGTTCCTGTAAGTTAAAGACCCTACAATAATATAAATTAGAAAAAAATCAAGCTGATTACTGTCAAACTTGACCTCAGTGGTTTAACAGTTTTAGTGAGTTTATTCTGAGATGCAAACAGACATAAATTTGACATGAATACATTGTTAATACTGATCCAAAAAGTGATGTTTGGGATTTTGTTCTCTATATCTTTTTAGAATTTAAAGGTTGGGATGCATTAATATTTTTTGATATGTTAAAATAATCAATAATGACAATCAATGACACAACACAAGATTGAAACAAAATATGATCCTACCTGGCAATGCAACCTGGCAGAAGAGAAGTAACAGAAATAAAATGTCCACCATATTTTACAGATACTGTTGAGCAGGATATCAGTCGTGACTTATCTGCACGTGAGCAGTGAAAGGACTTGGCATTCATATCATGCCCAAGCAGCTTAGTGTGCAGCCTCAGCCTCAGGAAATGTGGTGGTTAAATGTCAGACTTGTGCCCCTGCACACAACGAACACAGTGATCTACACTGTGACCACACTGTGCTTTTGTAACCTTTTGTAACCTACTGCATACTGTATGTTCCAATTTGCCACTGATGCCTCTGCAGCAACCTATTTACTCTAACTATGGTTTTCAAAATGGTTCATTTCTGTAGAGTTTTTCCTGTTGTTTGAAAACTGAAGATGCAAAATAAGTAGCACAATAATAGTTTATAAATTACAACTGATTAAGAAATATTATCAAGTAAGCTTTTATCATGTACTGAAAAAAATCCAACACAGCTGGGAAAATAGCACTAAGCAGAAGCTGTATTTAATTCCGGTTATGGTTAAGGTTGAGCTTGTTTAGCTGAAGTTTATAATTATTTTATAAATGTTGCACTTACTGACTAATAAATATTCTCTCAAGCTTCAGAGTATAAACTTTGCATACAACGCTGTCCAATATTGCCCCAAAATTCAGACTATTAAGCTTTAAATTGTAATGGATCACCCACATCTTAAACTGTGGGTGCTAGTCCTCCTCCTTGGGGAATCTGCTGCGAGATTAAGATAGAGACTGGATCATGTGGGGAATTGGTTCACGTGTCACTAAAAAACTCATAGTTTACAGAGCAGACCAAGTCGTTCACTGTTCTTTTACTTTTTTGGAGACCCCCACCTCCCCATTACTGGATCCCCCTCTCTTTACTCCCTTGCTGCTTCTCTCTAAACTTCTAGAGAGTTTAGAGAGAGTCATCTTATTGTCACACTTTAGTGTGATTCTAATGAGGATGTGCATCATCTGTTGGTTTGAACCTTTAAATATGTTTTCTATCTGTGATATCGTCTCATCTGTCACACCTGCAAACACTGTGATGGTAAAGGAACAAAAGCCAAAACCACTCATACACACCCACACATTCACACACCATTTTATTTTCAGTTTCTGCTCTCATTATCAAAGCACTTCAACTGAACCAAACTTAACACTTAATTTTATTTCTGCCTTGCCTTCATGTTCAAAGGTCAAAGTTGACTTTCCCACAGTGCAAAGTGACGTCAGATTGAGGTCTTTTATATCTACAGGCTCTTGAGCTAAAACAAAAATGAGCAGATGCACACTGGATTTCGAGCAGTTTGCAAAATATGAAACATGTAGTTGCACTCACAGATGGAAAACTCACATGACAAAGGGTTTTACTGTTTCCAAGAAAACTAGTTGCTGTAAAAAGCCCCCAACAGAGATGTGTTATGATGATCTGCATCTTTGCTACAGTGTGGCTTCTTGTCCTAACTTAGCTAGTGTGTACATGGTAAATGGCCTGTATTTATATAGCGCTTTACTAGTCCCTAAGGACCCCAAAGCGCTTTACATATCCAGTCATCCACCCATTCACACACTGGTGATGGCAAGCTACATTGTAGCCACAGCCACCCTGGGGCACACTGACAGAGGCGAGGCTGCCGGACACTGGCGCCAGTAGGCAACGGCCGAGTATGTGCGAGCCAGGGCTCGAACCGGCAACCTTCCGATTACAAGACGAACTGCCAACTCTTGAGCCACGATGGCCCGCATATAGTGTGTGCTGTTTTCTGTCCCTTGTCGGTCCATCTACTTGTCATCTCCTGTCTTTCCTCTGCTTGTTGTCCTCCATGTTGCCTCTAAATTTCTCCTGCCTGTTTCCCCGTGTCTCCTGGTTTCCTGTTTCTTGGCTCAGCTCACCATCCTCAGGTTATTTTGTTACTCTTAGCATTTCCCAGTATAGGTTCTATTAACCCCATGTCAGTCATTCTTGTTTTGTTTGTATGTCACCAACATTGTAAATAAAGCTTTCACTCAGTATGTCCGTTGTCAGTGCCTGCTCTTGGGTCCTCTCTCATCACTCTTCGCCATCTGCCCCCATTGCTGAGGGATTCCTATGATGCATTGAGTATTTTTTCTTCAGTCACCTTTCTCACTCGCTGTGTGTTAATAGACCTCTCTGCATTGAATCATACTTGTTATTAATCTCTTTCTCTCTTCCACAGCATGTCTTTTATCTTGTCTTCCTTTTTCTCACCCCAAATGGTGGCAGTTGATGGCCACCGCTCCCTGAGGCTGGTTCTGCTGGAGGTTACGTCCTGTTAAAAGTTTTTCCTTCCCACTGTTGCCAAAGTGCTTGCTTCTAGGATGTCATATGATTGTTGGGTTTTTCTTGGTTGTATTAATGTAGGGTCTGCCTTACACTATCATCTAGTTATGGTTATTACAGTTTGGTTGTTATACCTAATGCTCCATCTAGGGTCTCCCTCCTTTCCTCTGCTGGGATGGATATGCAGGTGTCATCAGGATGTCTGGCCTTAGGCTTTTCAGTACACTTGGGGGCTATGGACGGCCCAGGTCACCTGAGCCTTTCTCTGTCCACTGGTGGCTCCTGGGTGACATTATTGCAGTTTCTTACCCTCATTATCAAGTATGTTTCATGACAAATCCACGTACACTGACACAAAGTTTGAGAGGTACCTGCAAGGCTGGACATTGGGTCACTCATACTGTGCAGTGTCCCAGGATCAAACCTCCGGGTGCTGGGACATAGCACAGTTTTTGTGGGACACATAAAATATGGAGATGGGCAAGTTCATCTTATCGCTTCATGCATCTTCAGGTCTGCCAAAGCTGGAATCCAGCTGGTCTCGTATTACCTCTGATACTGGCATAGAGGAGTCCTCAAACAAGCCTGGAGAGCAGCCTTCTCTCTCAGAGTGCACAATAATTTCCAGAGTCCGCTGAATGGATTGCATTTATATAGTGCTTTTCAAAACCCTCAAAGCACTTTACAATTCCACTATTCATTCACTCTCACATTCACACACTGGTGGAGGCAAGCTACAGTTGTAGCCACAGCTGCCCTGGGGCAGACTGACAGAAGCAAGGCCAAGGACACAATGACCAGGACAGACAGAGCCGGTTTGTAATGCTGTAAAGTCCGTATAAGCCAAAATTCATACTTTCACTCTCACATACATATATTCTTCTTTCAGGCGCATGTATTGTCACTGTCACATACATATATTTTCACTCTCACATACATATATTTTCACTGTCACACACATGTATTTTCACTCTCACACACATATATTTTCACTCTCACACACATGTATTTTCACTCTCACGCACATATATTTTCGCTCTCACGCACATATATTCTTCTTTCACATACACATATTTTCACTCTCACACACATGTATTTTCACTCTCACACACATGTATTTTCACTCTCACACACATATATTTTCACTCTCACATTGCCTTTCAACACATATATATTTGTACTCCTATACTCATATATACATACAATCCCAGTGTTTATCCTTTACCCTTGCAGACATACACTCTGACATTCACATCTGCATTTCCTAACACAGGAAGTTAATCCTTTAAGCAGGAAGTCATTCTTAAACCAGGAAATGTAATCTCCATCTCAAGATTTGTTGACGATGCAAGAAACAGAGAAGCAGTGAATATATTACAGTCCTTAAATGGATGGCTAATTTTTTTACTGACTGCTTATGAAACCAGACAAGGAACTACATCTGAGAACAGACTTGCTACCTCCACCTCTTATGACTTGCTCTCAAGGTCGACCGCGATACAGCATTTCAAGAGAGCAAATATGTCATTTAGTATCTCTTGGAATGAACTGGCAAAGCATTGCAACATGCTTAGGGGTTAGCTCCCGTACTCTGTACAGGCACAGAGAGGACCTTGGCATTGAGCCACTGACTTATGCAACATTATCTGATGAAAACCTGAACAGGGTTGTTCGGGAAATTCTTCAGTATACCACAAATGCAGGTGAACAATATGTGCATGGCAGCTTGAGATCACGTGGGTTACGAATTCAAAGACAAAGTCTACAAGAAATTGACCCCTTTGGACGTTCCCTCCGAAGACGCAATGCAATACGTCGACGACTGTACAGTGTT